CTCCCAGAATTCCCCAGCCAGCTTCAAGTTGCCAAGGTTGAGAAACACTGCTCTAGATGGTTTTCACTAGGAGTTAACAGTTACACCTTTTCTTGCTGCGTTTCATTCACAGAATTGAATGAAACTACAGTTAGCCCGTCACAAAAGACAAATAGGGCAACATATTAAAAAGAAAATAAAAGAATTAGATGAAATTCCTATATATATTCACCCATTTTGAGGGAATCCAGAAATACAAGTACAAACCGTTTCCTGTGGAACAGCATATACACACCAATGTTTTCCAACCTGCCCTCAAATATTAACTTTTTGTGAGCAATTGCTTCTAAATATATCATGCAGCAAAAAAAGTTGCAAAAATTTCAGAGGGATAATGGAATCAAACTCTTCATGTCTATTACCACTAAAGTGGTCCACACAGTACTAAATTGCTTACACGTGGTCTAAGTCCACTTAGGTTAAAGGTGTGGCAAAATTCTGAGCATGAAAAATTGTTTCTGTATTTTGAAAATGCATCAGGCTGTTAATAAAGTTTCATAACGAGATAACTGGTTTTGTGCTGGAAATGGGTTGCCTTTTTCTAATCTTGCCATCCGATGAGATGTTGGAGGTCATTTTGGCAGGATAAGGAAATGAATGTGAAGCAGCTGAAGCTAATATTCAGCAGGGTCAAAGGAGCTAAGAAAAGGAATGGGGAATATTCAAATGGGAGCAAAGATGTCTCATTCTATTGCCAGTACAGAGATGTTCAGGAGTTAATGGTGTTGTCTATTTTTGTTCAGGTTCTGACCATGCTCCACTATAATGGAGTTGAGAAGCCAACGGAAGACTGAATGGCTGGGTGGATTCTACGATGGGAATGTTATATACAGCTTTGGTTCACTGAAATGTTCATGGCTCCTGTTTCCTTTCTGGGCCTGGGAGAAGCATTAGAGCAAGTATTTAGACATCATAAATAACCTTGTTCTATTTGAGCTGTTAAAATGTTGGCAAAAATGAAAAATGGTAGCTGAAAACTGAATTAAAGATCTCCCAGTGGTGCCATTGTGGCAGCAAATGATGAGGGGAAAATACAGATATTACAGCTGCATGAGTGGCAAGAATTTCTGGGTGTTATACTCAACTTCAACTGAAGATATACAGTGACATATCCAGGAGGCTCAATGGAGTCTTTATTCATCTTGCCATGTCATGGAGCAAGTAAAGAGGGCCCCTTTGCCATTTCCCTACACACACCAAATTGCTCCCCGAGCTCACTTTGCAGGAATTGGAACATCCTATTTTGAACTATCCAGTGCAATTAGGAAGCTAAATATCCAGCAAACTAAAAATCGTTGCCGCTAAGGGGTTTACCCTTGAATTATGCTTACATCAAGGCTGCATTTTTCAGACACTGAGAGCTGAGATCAAAAAAGCTACTGTGGTCAACAGGTCCAGCAGTAAAACCACACTAACTGAAACGCCCTTTTGTTTCAGAAGCCAACAACGATTGCCCCCATGGCTGTGGTACCTTAGCCATGGGGTTCTTCTATTCCTTGAACAGTCCTGAGCCAGAAGAAAAGAGATGTCTGATCTGGGGATCAGAGTTAGAACAAGAACTCCAAAATATGTCAGGCCCCTTTTTTGAATGTCCTACACAGAGCAGTCAGTGAACTAATTCAGGATGTTAGCTTAGCTGTTTTTAGAATGTTTAAAGTAGTTTAACCATTGTACTGCTGTCAAATATGAACACAGTTGAGTGTTTTCCCATACTGCATGTTGGGAAGGTGTGGGAATGAATAAGTGTAACTTATGACCACCCTGTAAAATAGCATAATGTTCCTGTAGCTTACATTTCAGTGGCTGCTGTGAAACAGCCCTAGGTAAATGCAGGGACCAAATCTGGATGAGAAGCCGTGACAAGGAGGAACCTAAGTGGGGCTTGCTTGCAGGGTTACTGAAATGGGAAAGAAGTCATCGCAGGGTTACGAAGCTTTTCCTCTTCGTAAATTTCTGTTGTTCCTCGCTTTTGCTGCTGCCCCGTTCAAAAATTATCAAGGACCCACCTCCCTTAAAGGACTTGGGGGGAAAAAACAGCCTCGTGATTACTTTAGACTGCCTTAATACTAGATCAGGCCAATAATCCAGTCATCCAATCATCCAGTAATTCCAGTCATGTAATTTGCCAAGATCCTCCGCTTCTTTCCAGTTCCGTTACCTCGTATTTTTTTAACTGGATTGAACTTGGAAACTTATGCATGGAAATCGGGCAAACTTCCACTACATAGTGGCCTTCCTTGAAACAAGTTATCAAACTACTAACTGCTAAGATAGATCAGACCAAAAACGACATCTGGACATTCTTTCACAATATTTATTCATCCACCATAGAGATGACTAGCACAGAGAGGGCTTCCCTTGCTGGCTGTGTGGATGGGGTTCTCTGTCTATATCACTTTTTATGTGGTTTGGTCTGAATTTTGATGGGTAAAAATATACCATGTCAATTCTGCTGTTTTTCACTTAAGAATGACTTCCATTAAATGCCAACGTTTTAAAATATCTGAACGTGTCACATCTTTTAATGTGAGGAAGCACATACGGAAGATAGGATCTATCTGGAGGCCAATTCTCAGGATGGTTCTGTAATTATACTAAGGCTATTTAAAAAAAAACAAAGGATGTACAATGAATGTACAGATGAATAGGGTAAATACTTTGCTCTAAAATTTATTTAGAAACCAGCTCTAAACCATTGATTAATTTGCAGGCATGGAGAAAGCTGGGCTCATCTCACCGTGAACAGTTATTGCCATTTTAGTTTTATAGTATGTCTTTGTTCTTCATAAGTAAACTTAGCAATTGAAAACTATTTTATTTCCTGGCAGACAAAACACAAAAGGGGCAAAAGTTTATTTTGTATAAGATCTGTGCTTGGCACCTAGAAGCAGAGTTCTCTGCATAAGGCAAATCTTTATACACTTTCTTTCATAATATATATTTAACATACACTTTTATCACCCTCTTTAATATTCATAATATTGTATTCCCCTCCCTCCCACAAACGCCAGAAACATATTAAATACATTTATCTACAGCACATCAAAACCACCTCTCTACTGCAGTTCCTGTATTCACGTTATTTGGCAATTCCATTTTCACACTTTAACTTAAAGGACGACTTTACTCTTTTTATTGAGCGTCATTTGCTTGCTTGCTTTCCAAACAGATGAAGGAAAAATAATATTAAAAGAGCAATATTTGAGAAGGGCACTTATTTCTTGGCCAGTTCAGCTGGCTGTTAATGGCTAGCCCTCTGTTGTAGCCCCTGGCAATGGGGCTTCTGTCTCTTCCGGTAACACCCACTCAACACAACCCCTGACTAAGAGAAATTCTTCCTTTATAACTACCTCCTGGGGAAGATAAATGTTTTGCACCGGCTTGCCAATTGTTTGCACTTTATATAAGCCCTGCTTGTACAGTTGAGCTCAGCTTCCCCTTATACCTTTTCAAAATGAGATGTTGCCGGCAACAGTCATGCCTTTTTCAGATAAGCCTGCTATAAAAGCAATTCCTTGCCTGCATACATCAGGAAAATCTTTTAGTGTTAATGGGCATTTCCCCTCCTTTCCATCAGGCATAATTTTATAAAGAAAAAAATATTGTTCTCTGGGAAGAACCACATATCCCCAAAATAGAGAAGGCAAAATTCTCTCAGGAAGAGACATTCCAGTTCAGATAAAATGTTCACCAAGCTGACTGAGAGACAGCTATGGACTTGAATTAATAAATGTAGATAACAAGAAGGCATTTTGGCAGTTGTCTGTTTCTGACAGTGCAGTTATACAAGACAGCATCTTCAGGGACTGGTGCACACATCTGGGAAGCTTCCAAAAAAAAAAAAAAGCAGAAACACTGGGCTTCTGTTGGGAACAGTTCACGCCAAGCTCAGAGAATTATTGCATATACGGTAAAGCACGGCCCCTATTTTTTGTAAACAGTTTTCTCTATCTTTAAAACGAATCCATTGAAAATGGAAGCTATTCAGTTACACATGGCTTTTGATTCCGGTCTGCAGTTATTCAGTTCTTTGAAATGTAGCTATAGATGGCTTAGGTTCCACTGAGCATTCAAATACAAGTCCTGTTTAAATTTGGAAAGCAACCAGGAGGAAACCACCCGTAGATAAAAGCGATTCTTGCTCACAGTCGGCCAAGTGATGGCTCCACACACCATTTAAACCATATGCACGGACATTTGTGAAGATGACCCTGTGACAGAGCCATACTGCCGATTATCACAAGTGCTGGCTGCGGGCTGGCTGCCGCTGGGGGGGCTGATCACGTGCATGCTATGATCCATCCCCGTTGAAAGATATTGCCTCTCTCCAAAGGCCCCGCTGGAAGGAGGAGAGCAAAGTAAAGTGCTTTGTGTGGTGGCCAGTTTTTCAGGGCTTCCTGCCAGCCTTGGCGAAGCTGAGAAATTGTATCCATACAAATTATACGGGTTGTGAAGGGAAAAGGCATTGTAAGAACTCTGTTGCATATGGCCACTGCTAAACATATGGGAAGAAGAAGAAGCGGAGGTGGGGTTGCCAGCTTGCATGACATACTGGAACTGAGAGGTTGGGAATGATCCCAGCTGGCCACCATAAGCTTCCATTTTGCCATTCGTCGGCAGGGAAGAAGGAGCAGGCATTCCTGAGATCAGAGTTGGAGTCCGCTGAGGTATGAAGCTTTCCGATGGCTGAGCAGCAGCAGCAGCAGAAGAGCCACTCTGGAGCCGGTTGTATCCACTCTCACTCAAGCCTGGATAGCTCTGCAGGGCAGCCATGTTGCTTCTTGCACACGGTGGATATTCAGAGAGATTCAGGTTGCAAATCTGGCTCTCTCGGCAGCCAACATTGAAAGAGTTGGGGGTTAAATGAAAGGCTGGGGGTGAACAGGATGGAGAAAGAAGGTGGGAAGATGCTGAGGGAGAGGGGGTCCCTGTGCTGGAAGTGGTTGGGGAAGTGCCTGTGCTGCCCCCTAGGAAGACAACAGAAAAGAAAGCAACATATTTAAAATATAAGGTGAACAACACTTACTTGAATTTCTATCATTTTCTCTCTTATTTTATCCCAAACAAAAATACAAAAGACATAATCGTCTTTTGTCCTAATATCAAATTCATTCTAAAAGTGCTCAGGTAGCCAAAAACATGTATATGTCTGGGAAGGGAGGGAGGGAGGGAGGGAGGGAGACACACAGAGAGAAGGGAAGACAGCATACTGCAAAGCCAAGAAAAAGCCTCCGACATAATTTTTATTTCCAAGAATGCCTCTGGACCCCAAATGAGCTCCATAAACTTTCTAAAATAATGTCCAACCACAGCCCAGGGCTTTGTTTGAACTTATTTTTACGTGTCCAGAAAAAGGACAGAAGTAAGCTGGGAACATTCCACAGAAGAGGAAGATGGAGGGTAGTAAACTGCATTTCAGTAAATCGGCACTTTCTGACCAGATGTAGCCCTCCCCGGCAAACATTTATTGGATAGGTAACTCTTCTATAGCCTCCTTTTGGTGAGAGTCCCCAGAACATGCTTTCAAAATGTGAAGTGTGCTTACCAGCTCAAAAAGTTTGGACCTCTGTCCAAAAGGGAGGTATCAGTAGAGTAGGGAGTCTGAGCATACGCCAAATCATACCATATCCCCCTGCCATGTTCTTAGAATGATCCTCCCAAAATGTTGTTATTTGCTTCTTCACACATCCCCCCAAAGAAGTGGCCAAGAATGTCCTCCCATTTGCACTAATGGTACCAATAGCAGGAGGTTCTTGCCCAGGTTCTTCTCCTCCCATGAAATCCTGTTTTCCTTTGAGAGATTTGAGCTTCTCTTCAAATCAGCTGGATTCCTAAACAGCAGAATCTTCCAGAAGCTTAAATCTCAGTGAACCATTTTGTTTTAAGCCCCACTTGTTATAATTATTTTAAAAAATAACAATTTATAACTTAGTTCATAGGAAATAATGCCACCCCCTTTTTCTGGTTTTGAGAATCCCAGGCATGAATACTCAATAAAAGTATATTTAAGAACTCAGTTTAGAAGTACAGATGTGAACTTTTATCTATGTTTTTTGTTGTTCAAGGGTACAAGAAACCTGTGTCTTTATTTCCACACAATATTCTGCTTTCTCTGTCCTGCGTATCCTTACAAATCTCCCGCTGTATTTTGGGTATGTTCATTTTGAGAGGGAAACTTTCTTTGGCATCAATTTTTGCTTACATAGACTACAACATCAAGCTATCTGATGCTATAACATAATGTGATAAAAGGAAGCAGAAGTCAGCAGCTGGTCTCTAACATTTTCAGAAAATAAGAATATCAGACAATGTTGATTGATTTCACCTATGTCATCCTCTTGTGCAACCTGGGCAATGCCTCTGTGCTGAAAGTTGATTCAATTATTTAAAGAGACCTCTAGCCCTGATCATCGGAGTCCCATCATAAAACTACACATGATGTGTCAAATACATTTAATGAAATCACTGAAGACAACTGAGGAAAGTGGCATGCAACAATACCTATTTAACATATTTAATAGGGGTGTGTAAGGCAGCACTATTCAACAGTGCCAGGCACTTCATTTCATTGAGGCATTTGGAAACAGGCTGCTACTTAATAATAATATTAAATTTATATGTCACCTGACTCTCAATGACTGGGCAGCTCACAACAATCAAATAAAGAAATTACAATAAACTCAATAAAGCATAAAAAATAACCAAAGCTTTTTGAAAGAATGCTTGAATCAAAAGTTTCATCAAGACTTCCTTCCTTCCTTCCTTCCTTCCTTCCTTCCTTCCTTCCTTCCTTCCTTCCTTCCTTCCTTCCTTCCATTTTAAAGGAATATAAACCATCAAAGATAAAAGACATATAGAAAGAGTAAAATTGTAAAATACAGTTAGTAAAATACAAGTAAATAAACATAAGATCTAAAATGTGTGATATCATTTTTTACAGGAAAAAATAAGCCGCAATAAGTTTTAAATTAAGGATACCTGGTTAACACAATATAGATCACTAATTAAAATTATAGGCTATAATGAATTAGATCAACCCTAGAAATCTAATTTCTTATCAAGTTGAAATATAGACTCTAAATTTTAAAAAAAGCCACATTTGGAATGTGGCACAAATCCATGTACTAAATTATAATCCAAGAATGGTTTCCAGTTAGAATTGAGTTATAAATCAGATTTAATTTTCATTTTATGAAAATTATCGATTTACAATTCGATATTTTGGACATTGAAGCATAGTCACATAACTTGATTAGCTATTCTTCCAAGGAAGGAATTGAACAACTTTTTCCAATAAGAAGCACATAATATCCTTGCTGCAGTTAACATATTCAGAGCTAGTTCAGTACACTTTAAAAGTATGTATGGTTTAGTAATATTAACAAAAAGTATCTCAGGTTGGAAAGGAAATTTAACTTTCAAAATTTGTTTCGTGAATAATTTCCCCAAATTCCTAAGCTTTACAGCAATCACCAAATGTGAAAACATGATTCAACGCACTTGTTGCATTTCCAACACTTTTTAGAAAATGAACTATTCATCTTGGTCATCAGAACTGAAGTAACGTACCAGTGATAAAACATCTTGTGCTAATTTTCTCTAAGCGTAATATTCAGAGTGAATTTAATGTTCTTCCACTGAAATTCCCATTGTTATATCTCTATTACTGTGTTCAAATTCTGCATCTATTTAATTCAACAGTATTTGACCTGTTCTAACTCGAGTCATATTTCACTAATGGTTTATAAACTAAACCCAGTAAAAGTTCAAAGTTGTGTCTTATAAGATTTTCAAATTCTGTCAAGTCTCTCAGTTTGCGTAAGTGAAAAAGGTTTCTTAACCTCATTTGTTTTCGACAATGATGTACTGTATATGCCACTTTGACTTTGATACAACTTTCACTTCACATCATTTCAGAGCATATGGTTATCTTATAACCCTTTGATGTCTCTGTATTCCAATATATCTTCTGGAGTCTAAGTAGCAGTGTCGATATGAATGTGTTAACCATGCTGCTTATTAGCACAGATCTCTACTTTGCTTATTATAGGATTTCTGTATCTTCATCTGTATATCTTTTGGACCTTTGATCCATTCTGAATCCATCGTCATCCATCACCTTTAAACTTAGCCATGGTCCTTTTCCGTTAAATATCTCACCAATGAAAGTCCTTCTAAATCTGGAACGTGCAGAACGTGATTTACCAATATAGTTCTAGTGTTTCATTTTCATTACTGTATTTCAAAATACCTTGTCCAATTGCTTCAGCTTTAATACTCTTTCCATTAGCAAGATTTTTTTCCCTTGGTCACATAGTGTAAATTATTTAAAGACAGTCTCATCACGTGATATGACTAACAGCTCATGTCAGTCCATCAGCCTTTTGAAGATTTTTTTCGACGTAACTTTCAAATTTCCAGTCCATTCTTTATTAGCTTTATCAGTATTTGTTGCTTTATCTTTTTGTCTGTGCGCTTGAAAATTCCTCACGAATTACTTCACTTTCAGTATTGAACAAATCCGTCTTTCTTACTCTTGAATCAATGTTTAATTTCTTTTTCTGTGTAATTTATTATTTGCAATATTGTAAAGCTGTTTCTTCTTTTTGATTTTTATTTCTTTCACAACTTTTTGAGCTAAAGCTTAACTGCAAGTCTTCCTTTAATAAATGTTAAAGTTAATTCTACCTAAAACCATGTTTCTAAACATAGGGTTACATGTTTCAGATGGAATACACAGAAATTAAAGCTGCTGTATAGTCATTTATTATCTATTTCCAAACCTGTTCAGTTGTCCACCTACTCCTAATATAGAATGAATGTGTTCTTGACCACTTCAAGTCTTTCTTTTCACAGTTTTCTTAATAAGAACTGCTTACTGTTGAGGCTTCTTTTATATATTTCATGTAAAACTCCCCACAACCCACTTTAAAACACCTGGATCAGTTTTTCCACTTCATATCCATATTGTCATAGAGCTACTTGGTGGGAATGGCAAAAGCTGAGAATTAGCAGACTAAGAATTCACTTATCTACTTTTTATGCTTCAGCTTAAACATTGTAAGAAAGCCACAAACAGAACATCTGTCAGGTAGTTATACATATTGACAAATCCTTTGCTTGTAAAACCAAACTTAACATTTCCTATTTGTGTTGTGTGAGCAAGAGAATTGCATACAGAAATCTGGAAAATCTGCTGTGGGAAAATGATAAAGTACAGAATTACTGGAATTCTTGTTTATTTTTGTTAATAAATGTTCTTCATTGAATTGGAAAAAAAAAAAAACCCCAAAGCCAAATATTTTTAATAATGAGAACATGGATCAGATTCAACTAAAAGTCAGTTTAAATTGTTTAATCTTTTTTTCTTTTTCTGGCTCTCTCTAACCCAAATGAACCCCATAATATCTCATTGCCATCTGCATGAAATTAATCTTACATCTGTTTTGTCCCAATATCAAACCAGTCTTGGGGGTGATATCATTCTTGAAGTGTTGGTTCTCTAATGCTGAAGTTCTGGAACATCAGTATGGTTTCTGGCCCCAATTCTGATAGAAGGTGCTTGAAAAACATTTATTCGTTTAAACCCACTTGGTTTGTCTTCTTGTAAAATATTTTTTTCCTGCAAACCTTCAGTGACTTTCTTTTGCTTGAATTCTAAACTAGAGAGATAACAGCTTTCAACTGGAAAGGGAAGAAGGAAATCATGACTGAGGGCCAATCAGTGCTGTCAAGGAGTAATCCATAAAAATCAATGGGAATATAAAAATCAATGATATTAATGCCTTGAGGCACACTGTGCTATTTCCTCAGGAAACAAGAGTGGCTTGTTTTGTGAGATGGGCGGCTATATAAATTAGACAAATAAATAACATAAATAAACCTTATTATTCATGGAACCTTCGGTGAAAAGAGCAATAATTATAATTCTAGTAGTCGTATAATATGAATTATTTAGGAACAAGAT